CATGATATATAGTGGGGGCGCAATAACAATATGAACTCGTATTTCAACTCTTGCCTTCATCATGGGTGGTGTGTGCCCACCGCAATTTCGACATCAACATGCTCGGTTTGAATCTTGCTGTCTTCTTTGTAAAGAATACACAACACTCGTGAGGGGTATTGGTCCAAGTATGTTTATGTCTAAACTCATTCATTACAGGCTGACGCGACAATACGGTGATCAAAATTTACTTAGAGGTTATAGATGGGGAATTTCAATGAAGATGGATTTGATATGAAATTTCTCATTTAAAAACTCATAGTTTGTGTGTAGGATTTTGTTCAAATAACACGTTCGAGAATCAACTAGGTGGCGATGCCATGCCTTATCTTGGGGCGGAGATGGACTATATATATGTATTATGTGGTCCGTTTATGGTGTTTTGTTAGTATTATTAGTCTAAAATTAATTTTTTTGTTAGCAAATTTGTTTGTAATAATAAATTGACAATATGTGACAAAGAGGAGATATATGCTCTCAATATCCAATTTAAAATGTTTTGAAAATTTTGGCTAATAAATTATATTTATCTAAACCCAAGTAGACCTTTGATTATGGGTTGGAGTTTGGGTAGGGTATTGATATTTTACTTCCATAATCTAAATATGTATTGGTTGGGTATGTATACTCATTTATTCGAGGGTTTTTTAATTATACATACAAAAATTAAACCTATTTGTAGAACTTCAAAAGTTTAGGTACCAAAATATTATACAAAAAAAATTCAGGTACTAAAATGTAATATTTCATCAATATTTTGAGGACATATATGCCAGAAAAATAAATCTAGGTTATAAATCTAAAGATCTATTATGTATAGGTAGCGAACCATAATTTGCATAGTTGAGACTTAATTCTTTTTATGGTGATGTATTTAAGATGATAATTATTTACTTTTCTATAGAATTTTTTTTTTTGACAAAAGATATCATATATTGATCCAAAAGTCCTTTGCTTCCACCCCTGGAGACGGTCCAAAAGTTTCTCTTCCAAATACCTAAACATAGTCATCTTAGATCTGGAAACTAGCGTAGGTAACCCCAGATATTTATCATGGACCCCCACTGCGCCAACCCCTAAAATCGTGGCCGAAAATTCTTGATCCGGTTGAGCAATATTCTTGCTAAAGCATACTGCCGATTTCTCAGATTAATCTGTTGGCCACTAAGTTCTTCATACTCGTTCAAGACCTCAATTAAGTTCTCCCCCTTTTGAAGGGAGCCTCTCAGGAATAAATAAGAATCATTAGCGAAAAACAGACGAGAAATTCTTGGAGCACAAGGAGCCATTTTAACACCCTCCAGCTTTTTCTCCGAGATAGCCTTATGGAGGAGAGCCGCAAACCCCTCTGTGCAGAGCACAAACAAGAGAGGTGATAGCGGGTCCCCCTGCCGGAGTCCCCTGGAGGAAGAGAAATAACCCGCGGGGGTATCATTTATTATGACAGAAAATGACGATGAGCGAAGACATTCATGAATCCATCCTTGCCAGACAAAGTTAAAGCCCATTTTATCCAAAACCGCCAGAAGGAAGGGCCATTCGACTCTATCATAGGCATTTTCCATGTCAACCTTTAGAGCCATGTACACCTTCTTTCCCTGCTTCTTTATTTTTAGATAATGCATTAACTCATGCTCTAAAAGCATGCTATCAATAATTTGTCGGTCTCGTACAAACTCATTCTGGCCCTCTGAGACGATATGTGGGAGCAAACCAGCCAGCCGTTCAGCCATGATCTTGGTTATCACTTTATAAACAAATTGACATAGACTGATTGGACGCAACTATCTGATAGTTTTCACAGAATCAACTTTAGAAATCAAATTGAGCCAGGTATGGTTAAAACTTCGCAGCATCGGACTTGTTGAAAAGAAAGAGCACACTGCCTCAATCACCGAAGTGCCCACAATATCCGAGAACGCTTTGAAGAACTTTCCTGTGAAGTCATCGGATCCCGGGGCCTGCTTCGATGCCATTGAAAAGACCGTTCTCCGCACCTCACTAGGCAAGACCTCAACTGTCAACTACGCATTCATTTGCGGAGTAACACTCTGGGTAATGGGAAGAGTCGCCACCCTCTCAGCCATATTAGGAATCTGGGATTCCAAGGTAGATAGATTCTCGTAAAAAACAGTAGCAATACTTGCCTTCCCACTTTCCTCGGTGACCCATTCACCCTCATCATTTCGGAGACCGGCAACAAAATTCCTCTTCCGATGAGCACGTGTAACCGTATGAAAGTAGGCAGAATTTTGATCCCCTTTTTTTAACCATCAGACCCTTGCTTTTTGCTGTCAGTATATCTCCTACGCCTCCCATTGACGGGTCAACTCAGCTTCCAAGGTCCTGATCACATCCTAGTCCACCGGATTGATTGTTTTTATCCGATCAATCTCCGCTTGAAGAGTCATAATATTATGCAAGGAATTCGTCGTGCCCGCCCTGCTCCAATCATAAATCAAATGACGAAGATTCTTTAGACGCTCCCAAAGTCGAAACATAGGGGTACCTTGGATCTCCTCCTGCCAGACATAATTTACCATAGCCTGGACTTCTGGGTTATCCGCCCAACGGGCATCAAACCGAAAAGGGGCCGACTATTACGAGTATACGGTTTATCTGCGAGGAGAAGGGCGCGATGATCCGATCACTAGTCCGTAAAATGTTTGACCAAAGTCTCCGGATAAGTGTCAATCCAGGTCTGGGAACAAAGTGCCCTATCCAGACGTTCACGAATGCAAGCGGCACCCATACGTTTGTTCTCCAAGTGAATTGGTCCCCTTGGTAACCAAGGTCATGGAGGCCCAAGTCATGAACAAAGTCACGCATACTAGTGGCTTGTGCAACATTCCACGCCAGACCCCCATCCTTTTCACCCTCACGGAGAGTAGTGTTAAAATCACCTATGACAACATAGGGGTGATTGATGGTCGCGCAAACTTCCCGCAATTGAGCCAATTGAGTAGCTCTTATAGCAACATTACAGCTAATGTAAACAAAGATCACAACATAAGAGAAATCTCCTTCATTAATTTGCGAACAAATGTAGAAATTGGAATGAAAAAACATCAAAGTGTCAACCCCTAGGTACCAAGCTACTACTAAACCACCCGGTGCATCAACCGCAGCAACAAAGAACACGATATCCGGTTTATTCGACCTAACTAGTCCTACAGTAGTTTGGAAGGTGAGGGATGACCCAATTCCTCTCACATTCTAGGCTAGAAGTCTCATTTATTGGATGGGGGCCACTCGAGGCTGGCTTCCTCCACCTTCTCCAAAACATCAGCTGATTCCACAAATTGCTTCTTCGGGGTAGGAGGATCACCCACATCCCCGTACAGTTCATCAAGCACGCGCTTTAGATTCTCCATGATTGGGTCCATCAGATTAGACCCATATTCATTGAGGTTCGAGCGTGGCCCCTTGCAAGACACACCCTCCTCTCGAGCACAGACTAGCCCTGCTTCAAAAGCCTCCACCACTTGGTCAACTTGCCCTATCAAGATTTGGCGAGTTTCCATGGAGGCACCAACTGGTGACCTTCGCTTGATCTTAAAAGAGTGATGATCTCCAGCCGATTGGTCACCATCCGATTCAGTGGTATGCTGATGATCCTCATAAATAGGACCATCCAGAGGAGCAACAATCTCCTTATCTCCCAAATCCAGCAGAGCACCAGATGGAGTAGATCCCCATCCTGGTTGGATATAGTCAGTGGGCAGCCAGCTCCTCCTTTCCTCAGACACAGGCGAACCCGAGGTGCCGAACTCCCTATATGGGCTGAGACCTTGGAGGGCAATCGAGGATCCTTCATGGGCTTATGGATGGGATTGCCAGAAGGACCAGAAGACGCACAAGACTGCATTGAATTCATGGTCTCCTCACCCGCATTCTCCTCTTCCTCAGACTCCTCTTTAAAATCAGCCTACGTCGCCGGGATTGTTTGAGAGCCGTCTCCACCTAGTCCGCCACCTGCTGGCGATAGGAGCCTGCCTGACGCGTCTTCCATCCTGCTGGCGACCCTTGGTACCTTGCCGAGGAAGAGATGCCGCATTTCCGACTGACACTTTCTTCCGGTGTGGCCGAAACCCACCACCAATCTTAACTCGAGGCGATGTCTTGAAGACAAAACTCTTAGGGCTAGCACGATTCCCACACGGCTTAGTCTTGGGCTCCCGTAACCTAGGTTGTGTCTCCTTTCTCACTTGAACCTCAAAATCCCCTGTCCGAGGATGATACGATCCTTGATCAAGTGAGTGATCAAAAGGCACTGGTGGTAGCTCCACCTCACGATTTCTTCCAGTCTTCGTACTCCCATCATTGTGCATTTGAGCATTTCTGTTAACCCACACTGACTTGCTAGCATTGCAAAACTTAGTGTACTCCTCCTTATCCATGTAGATCTTTCTTCTTGGCTTCCTTCTAGACATATGCGGGCTGAACCATTCTTTACCCGGTGGGGGATCAAAAATACATTCTCACTTTGAGTGCCCTACACGGCTACAATGGTAGCAGAAGGTCGGTAAAAATTCATACTTGAGATTTACCCAGAAACTGCCGAACTCTTCACTAACCGCCATGAATTGAGACCACAGAGGCTTGGTAAAATTGATGAGAGCGTGCACTTTTACAAAGCGCTCATCCGTGTCTTTGGAAGCAAAGAAATCTTCTTTCAGGACTTGACCGATAGTCTCACCTGCCACTTTCAGGCAAAACTGCTTAGTGCAGCAGTCATCTTTCACATTCCATAGTTCAACACAAAAGGGAGCAATGGCCAAATCATAAAAAGTAAGCCTCGTGATAGACGGTGTCCAGAACCAAATCCTGTCCCTAACAATCTAGGGAGTTCTTTTTAGAAGCCAAACCCTTGTTTCATCACTTGGAAGAACAATCTCAAATAGGCCAAACTTAGTGACCGAAACCCTAAGGTTTCCTTGTACCCGCCAGGCCTCGACCAAGCCATTCCTTAGCTCAATAGGAGTGAATTTGGTTTCCAAAAATAACCTCCCCAAAAGAGTCCTCGAAGTTTGAAACTTCACCGATTGGATCTCTTCAAGTGAAAACTCGACCACTTGATCCTCCGCTATACGCGACATCGTATTCACCTAACACAAAGGGATATACAAAGTGTCAGAGTCAATGGGTCTGGCCGCAAAGGGCTCGGTCAAAAGAACCAGCGGCAACAACCTCCGCTGTCTGTCCACAAATGGCTCGGCGGCCAGAAAATCAGGCGGCAACAGATCGGCGCTACCCCGCCTGATCGCGAAAGGCACGGGGGTAAGTAAATCGAATGGCAGCAAACTGCTCCGAGGAGAGCATGATTCTGCCAATAAGAGGGTAATAGACTTACTCAAAGTAGAGCAGGGAGGGATTTGGAAATAAATCCCAGTACCTGGCTGGCAGGGAGGAGCAACACGCTGCTGATGGGGAGATTTTGCTTTTCTCGCTTGTCCAGTACTCACAAGACGCCGAACAGAGCATAGTAATGAGTCAGCAAGGGGAGAAGAAGATTTATAAAGAAAATAGTCTATATTCCCCAAGAAGAGGGATATTCCCCTGTTCCGTCCGTTTTTTAGAGGCTGGATCGGATTATGAGATCTCTGCTGGGGATTCGATTTTTTTCCCCGAATCGGATCAGGCTCCCGCTGATCCCGCCCAACACAGCTGAAAAATCGCCAAAAATCCATCTATAACCTCCCAGCGCAACCGCGTCCCCACTAGACTGCGGTGAACATCGGCGCAACCAAATCGGACGATAACCTCGTCACCGGTGACATTGGGGCTGTACTTTTTAGACTGTATCTCCACCCTACCACTACCTGGAAGCACACCGAGAACCCCATCGTCGAGGGGATCTTTCTGAGCAACATAATCACTGCATTTTTCGGTCTTTCTAGGATGCTCTGATTCACCATTAAAACAGGGTACACTAATCCCATCCTTCGCACGTTCTGGCGGCACGAGAAAGTCCCAACCCCTGATGGTTTAGATTGTTTGAATCGTTCCCTTTGTATAAGGAACTCAATTGAATTTCGAGAGGGCTGATTTTTGCTCCCCGCGAACGAGGGCAGGTCAGGTTCCTCATCGTCCACTTCTGACGAGTGCGGGAGCCAGAAATCTTCATTGATTCAGTGGCCTGATCCTACATCTCTAGCTGGACGCTCTTTTTCAATTTTAATCTCGGCAAAAGCCGTCTGAAGCGATCTCTTTTTCCTGCGGATCCATTTTGCTCGACGCTAGGCAATTTCGCGCAGATCCCTCTTTGGAAAAGGGCTCGCCGATCCTGGGGAATTTTCCCCTTTCTTTATTCCCGGCTCTAGGAGACGAATTCGTGCCGAGGAGAGCGAAAATGGCGACTAGTGGTCCTGGTTTCTCAAATTGGCCGTGAAAATGGCGACGGCGGCCCTCGATAACCACCGTCCGAGCAACAAACAGAATAGGAGGAGAGAGGAGAGAGCTCCTCTCAAACTTTTTTTTTAAAATTAAGTTGGGATGTCTTGGCGAGGTTACTTTTTTTATAGGAAAATGAAAACTATTTATTAGTTATGGAAACTATTTATTTGATATGTGTAGATACCTAGCCAAACATTCCACATAAAATTGTTGAAAATTCTAGTCTGATGAAAAAGAAAAACTCTAGAGAGAAGCAAAATGAATACAAACTCTAACTCGCTTAAAATTTCACGCCTTCAAATTCCATAGTGAAAAATGACTAATTTCTAATAAGTAATAACTATATATTTAATTTTAATGGGACTCGACATTGAGCTAAAAAAGCTTGCGGTTCATGGTTCATTTTTTTATAATGACGGTAAACTATTATTATCAAACAAAACAGAGTTGTACAGATGCAAGAGATCACACTTAATAAATGGTTCAATTATTAATTCTCTAGACTGTTGGTGAGTCGTGTAAGGACCCGTTGATACTTGTGATTAGAATACATAGAAATAGTATACTAATTAGGGTTATTTTTAATATTTCACGTAATGAGCAATCATAAAATGGCCGAACCTTCTTCTACAGTTGAGTGATACAACATATTGTATGGTACAAACTAAATTTATACTTTTATGTTATGGTCGATTGGATTCATGGATTGTTTCGAAAGGATTGGTGGATTAGATTCATAGATTCAAGTTAAATCAAAACATTGGACCAATATGTAATTTTAAAAATTGTAGATCGGAAAAACTCATAAAATTTAGATGTCAAAATCTAATTGTTCATTGACTTTAAATTAAAATTAAATTTGGGATATCAAAATATAAAATGTTACAAAGTGACTAATTTGTAATTTTTTATGCAACAGAAAATGCATTTCAGCTTTATGGGTTTTGAACGGAAGAATGAAGGTTTAATTTTAGCCTCACCTTCTTCAATTCTTCTTCACCCTGAAAATGGCCGTCACCACTCTACCACTAGTCTAGAATCTGGAGATCTCAGGTTCAAATATCTTAAGTAATATTTTAATCACCAAAATGAAACCTATATCACTCTTGTTGAAAAAAGGTCGTCTTTGCTCTCGACCGTCTCGGTCTCGTGCCCTAGAAAACCTCTTAGTGCTATTCACTGGAGGTATGGTTAAAAAGGATACGCAATCAACTACAACAATGGTGACGCCACCTCCTCTGTCACCCCCGCTTCTTCTCGATTATTAATCGAACCATCCCAGGTGGGACTTTCAGCGAGGAAGATGACAGAGTTGAGGCAAGAAAGCAGGTGTAGGAGGAAGAAGGAAAGTTGACTCATCGAAATGAGGAAGAAAGCAAAAGATGATCGGATGGGGTAAATTTTGGAAAAAAATGAGAATGATGGATTCAGAAATAGCTTATGTGCACCAACTATTCACATAAATGAAGGTTTTTTTTATTTCTAATGACAAAATCTCTCATCTTCCCCAAATACATAATTATGCTAAAAGTTGATAGAACGAAGAAATTGTGCGCAAATTCCTCGTCCAAATTTCTCATCTGTAGGATCCTTACTTTGAATCCATTGTCTAAAAAAGAAATAAGAAATTGTGAGGGATATGCATTATACAGGAGCGGTTGAGGTGGTGGGGGCAAGACATCTATGGTTTCAGAAGCAATGGGCTGTTTCATTCATATTGGTTGGGTTAAGAAGGGGAATAATAATGAATCGAATGAGTTGTTCTCCACCTGGAAGGAATCCTTGCTTGTTATATGAGATGTCTTTGGTTGATTTTCTTAGCTAGCTAGGGCTAGGCGTTGGATCGATGTTTAGTACTTAAGAAACATGGATTTGATTGAAAGGGTGGCTCCATGTTTTCTTTGGTTGATTGTTATGACTTATGAGATAGCCACACAACCTTCCTCCTCCCTTCACTCATTCACACTTCCAAACACTTTCTAGTCCCATCATTTGGTTTTGGTGATAATTAAATTTATGTATATCATCAATGCATGCATAATATATATATATATATATGGGGAGTTCTACGGTACCCACGATGAAATCCGGGGTACCGCATACCTTGAGTAAGAAAACGCTATCCAGAACTTGAATTGACTGATCTTTCGGACATGATACTATAATATAACTCTTAAAGATCAAAATCTAGGTCTTAATTCTCTAAATCTTGTACCCCAAGATCAATTTAATTAGAACTAATAATCGACAGTTATGATTCGCCCAAATATAGGCAAAAAAATAATGCACCATCTTAGGGTTTATAGTTTATGATTTAGAGTCATTAGGACCTAGGGTTCACTTATTAAGGGTTAGGGTATAGTATCATGCCCAATAATCCTGCTAATTCGAGTTCTAGATAGCGTTTTCATACTCAAGGTATGCGGTACCCCGGATTTCACCCGGAGTACCGTAGAAGGCACCATATATATATATATATATATATATATATATATATATATATATATATATATATATATATATACCATATATGTATATATATAACATATTGAAGTTTTGGTGATTCGATCGTTTGGTTTTGGTAATAGTTAAATTGATCCAATATGGTACTTCATGATCAGATAAAACATATTGAAGTTTTTGTTCATTATATACGACAGTTGGTGGCAGAGGGACTTATTGAGCTTGCTTACATCATTTTCGAAGATCAGACAACAAATTTATTGACTAAAGTTGTATCCAATGCACGTCATTTGTTCCTAGCTCACAAATTGATGTTGCGACAACAACATCAATTCGAGGGAGTGTATTGAACTTAATGTATGAATAGGTAATTAACCGTACTATAAGGTTACTTACCTATGTACCCTTGGTTTAGGGTTTATGTCGATTAGGGTATATAGGATTAGTTAGCCGACTTGGCTATGTACGCTAAAATTTCTTGTTGAAGATAATAGTACAAACTCCGAGAGGTGATTCTCCGAGGACTAGTCTCAGGAATACTCTCTGAGGAAACCACATAAATCTTATGTCTTGAGTTCTTCTTCTGGTTCGCGTATAGTTTAGCATCACTAACACAATGTGTATTAGCTAGTTCACGAATGAGAGAAAGCCAACTTCACTATACTTAAGGATATACAAATTACAGAGAAGTATGAAAAATATTTATAACACTTCTCAAAAGTCAACAAGATTCCCATTACTTCCGGTCTAAAAAAATTATCTGATTCAAGGATATCAACGCTGCAAGTGCTTGCTTTTGCTTTGTTTCATGTTTCACTGATCCTTGAAAGGATAATTTGACATGGGATGACAAGCACTAACCTTAAAATGAACAAATCACCAAAAAATCTAAAGAAATAGAAAAATCAATGCCGGCGGCAGGCCATCTCAATAAGTTCCAGGCTGGCCGGTTAGTTTTCTTCCCCCTTTGAAAGGCAAAAGTAGTTAATTAAGACAAAACACCATGAAAATGATTTGGAAGTTTGCTTGTTTTGTGTGGTTTAGAAATTATGAAGTGGGATATTTGTTAGGGCCAGGGGGCCTCATTGGAGAGTAATTAGAGAAGAAGAGACTTTGTGATAGGGACTAGCTAAGCTCTTGTTTGTGGGATAAAGTTTGAACAAGATAAGCTTATTTTACTAACTCTTAAGACTACGAAAAGTACCAAAATAAGAGGAGGAAAACTTAACTTATCTCTCCTATATTATTTTTCTTCTCATATAAATAGGAACAATAAAGTCCAACTTCACTTCATATATACAAATTTAATTAATCAAATCTATCATGAAATTTAAGAAACAAACAATAGTATTTTTTAAGTCTACAATGATCTCAAAATATTCATATATTCATGATTTAAAAAACTAAATTTTACTAAAATCTTCCTTTTCAAATTCACGAAACAAACGACCTGTAATAGAGAAAAATGTGGTTAGGATCCAACATTTATTTTTTTGTCTCAGTCTCACAAAAGATGATACCATATTTTTTGGGTGGGTCTTTCTACGGTGACATGCATGTCACGGTGACTTGCACTTTCCGGTCGACCTCAG